ATCCACAGCCTTCCCCTCATCCACTAAGCGGGTCACCTTGTCATAGAAGGAGACCAGGTTAGTGAAGCAGGACCTGCCTTTCATAAACCCATGCTGGCTGAGCCTGATCCCCCGGTTGTCCCACACGTGCCGTGTAATGGCACTCAAGATGATCTGCTCCATGACCTTCCCCGGCACCAAGGTCAGGCTGACAGGCCTGTAGTTCCCCGGATCCTCCTTCCGACCCTTCTTGTAGAGGGGCGTCACGTTTGCTAACTTCCAGTCATCTGGGACCTCCCCAGTTGACCAGGACTGCTGATAAATGATGGAGAGTGGCTTGGCAAGCTCCTCTGCCAGCTCCCTCAGTATCCTCGGGTGGATAGACTAGATACCTAAAATGCAAGACATATTCCTTTGTTTTTTTCTACTTTGACCATCTTCTCTTCAATTAAGAAAAAAACATGAAATTCACTTACTTGTGTCATGAATTAAGCAGAGTCTTCAGTGTGTTGCTATGACTTCTGGGCCGCTGTCTGGAAGAGATTTTGTAATGTGGCTGTATTTGTGGTTGTTTAACCTACATTTTTCTGCTTTTTATCAAGACCTCCTCTTTACTTAACTGTACTTTTGTTTTCTTTACAAGACTTTTCCACACTCATGCTCTTCTTTTCCTCAAACTTAACCATGTTCTTTTAGTTCTCTACATAGAGCTTTTCCACTCTTCACTCTCTCACACCCTTCTGCATCACAGGGTCTGAATATCAAGGTATCCCATAGACAGATATTCTATATGAATCTACATCTATGACATTTACAGATCAACTAACTTTAAGGTGAAATAGGTACTGATGAACTGGTGAGTTGGATGTCATTTCTAGCAGAGAAAAGGGTGAAAAACTGAAGTCTTCTATTCTTATTTAAACACACTCTTCTTAGTCGGTGCTCTACAGGCTTTCACATGGCTGCTGTTCAACCAAGTGGTTAAATAATATTAGATAAGAAAAGGTGAACCATTGATTCAAGGGAATTGTGGGAAGCTGGGGATTAGAGCAACTACTCCTGGGATATAGAAGTCATTGAGAATTTAAGCCTTTATATATTTTTCTGTCCTATCGTTATCACAGGATTCAATCACACATCAATTGCAACTGGTCCCTAAAGTTTTAAGGATGATAAATGGCTACAAAAATAAAAGAACTATAATGGAATCAATGTATTAAGTAGATACTATTGCCATATTGTTTTTATTTTAACATTTATAGATGAATAGTGTATAAATGACATGTTAGGGTGAAGATGGCCACGTGGGTCCATGTCAAACACTGGAGCAGCCTCTGTTATACCATATGAAATAATTTTTGTTCATTAGTGGTAGCAGGTGGATGAATATTTTCCTAGTTCTAATAAGCAAGTTAGTCTTGTGGACAAGAGGAAACACATACAGTTCTAGTAAGTCCTCTACGATGTATTCATAACTTGTGTGACTTTCGTTGCCTGAATCTTACTTAAGTAGCTGTTGCAGATTTGAGGTTTTAGACTGGTACTGATTTGAAGTGTGGCTGCCTAGTGGTAAAGGTCCACAGTTCAGACGACACTGGAGAATAAGAGGAGAAAAACTGTTTGTAGCCTTTGCTCTTAATAATGAATGTAACATTGAGTTTCCATTGGCTTATAATATTTCCTTGAACTCACGGCATAGGTTTGTTTGTTTGATCTGGTGCCTCCAGTAAGAGACATATGGAAAATTTTCTTAGTTCTAACACATGAATGTTTTTACTCACTGCAGTATATGCATGCTTGCTGGAGGACTCTGCTGCCTGCTACACTTTCTGCTAGCTGAGGGGCTCCACATCTACTGTATCCATCATGCTCCAGCTGTAATCAGTAAACTCATGTCTTTCTTCTTCATTCTCACCTGGGGACTCTTTAATTTTCTTTCTCTTTTTCTGTTCTGTGAGGCCATTAACTTGGTTTCCTTTGCTCATACTACTTGTGTTGCTTTGCCTTTTATATAGTGCTTTTTGAGTTTTGTTTCATCGAAACAGTCTTGGTCTGGCACAGTGTACAAGATGAGTCAGATTGACAGTGCAGTCAGTATTTAGGGTGACAATAAGAAAATTTGTGTCACCAGGGGACATCTGGAGCTTCGAGTTCTTTTGATGATATCTTGGGCTTTTGAGAGAAAATTCTCTTAGGCAACTCAGCTGACAAAGTACCCACCCAAATGTTTCAGTACCTTATATCTGACAGTTTAGAACATAATTACCTTAAAGCCCAGTCAATTTGTGCTTCTGTCTGCAGCAGGTTTATATCCATATGACTCAAATCGCAGACATGCATACCTTTGAGTCATTAAATACTAACATCGTCTTCAAACAATGGGTTTAAACATTCTGAGATATTTCCAAAATACCTCTCTTCTTATGGAGCAGGAAGCCTAAGCTGTATCTGGTAAAGGATCTGCTGTTGCGATGGAAACCTGGATGTGCCTCAGAAGGAATTCCAGCTCTGGCAATTGACATTGCCACTGTTGCAGAACAGAGCTCTTAGTAGACCAAAACATAAATCATATTTTTTGGCCAATTCACTCTGAATACTGAAGGAAATAAAAAAACATATATGACAATTTTACTTAGTTTGCTTCTTCAGAGAATGGGATGACAGTTAAGTGTTTTTTTTTTTTTTTGTCCAAGCTCCTTCTAGAAATTTTAAAATCATGAGATTCAGTAATATGAACACAATATAATGCTCAACTACATGGAAAGGAATAAAAGAGAATATTTAAATGTGCAAGTTAAATAGCCAATACTTCACTATGTATTGCTCCCTGTCATCCAATAGCAGAGTCCTATCATCTGGTTAATGTACTCTTGACCCTCAGAGCTCGATGGATTGTTTAGACATTTACGCTATTTCCAAGGGATAGGTATCTCAAGAACAAAGAAAGATAATATTACCAATTTGGAAAAACTGAGTTAGGTAACTTTTTATGATGTTCTCAAGCCACATAATAAATAAATATTCCAAGTAGCACCTTAATGAAGGAATAACATAATGTCCAATAATGAAAATGTATTATTTAAAATACTGAATGATTTTCAATTGCATGTACACATAAGAGTGGTGGTCAGCTCTTAAACAGATTAAAAGCAGCAAGAGTGATCCATACTCAGTGGATGCATTCTTTGCTTTGCATAAAGTTTAAACAACTTTATTTGCTTTATACAGCCAGATTCTTGAATGGAGTAATAAATTAAAATTATAGCTTCATTATAAGGAAGTAATTTTGTGTTTGTTTTCCTTACAAGTCCATGACTTAGCTGGATAGCTAAAGAGTCATTCCATTCCAGAATTTACATTTCTAAGAATATTCTCTAGTTTCTAATATCTTCCTTTTCAGGTTTATATTTTCTCTAGAAAATTGGACTATAGAGTTCTTTGAATGAAGTTCTTCATATTCTTTGTTCTTAAGCATTTCTGTCACCTCTTCTTGAACAAAAAAAGGAAACAGATATTAAGAAATCTAAAGAGGAGAAAATGTAGCCATCTTTGATATTCTACCATGTCCGATACACACAAGACTGTTGTAGATCAGCAATCAGCTCATAGAGTCTGAGAATGGAAATAAGAAAATGAATGCTTCCTCAGTGTTCTCTGCAGGATCCACTTTCAGCAGATCAGAGGTCAAATGCATTTACAAAACAGTAGGAGAGAAATCTTGCATTGTTACAATGTGTTCCTGGGGAGCACACAACTTTATACACTCACTTCATGCCCACCTGGCAATGCAAAAAAAAAAAAAAAAAAAAAATCATTTCAAGTAATTTTGCCTTTGAGCCTAATTAAAGTGCATAGTGAAAGGTGGGAAGGAAGACAATGTTCCCTAGTCTCTGGCTGCCTGGCCCAACATCCAGCAGCAGAGGAAGTAACAAGTTTCAGGAGAGAGCCCAAACTAATGAACACTGTAGGTAAAGCAGAAGCAACATTTTGGCCTGGGAGTATGAGTACTGAAGGCTAAGGCAAACAAGTTAGCAGTCTGTTAGGTTAAAACATCCTTTATTCTATAATTGGAAGGGTCACAAGACTCATTTTAATTAAAGGCTGCAAAAAGTTTACCACTTCCACTTCAAAGCATGCTCAGATGTGATGAGTAGGTGGGTCTCAGTGTGGTGTCCAAGTTCCAATTTGGCATTTGCTTGTGGTACTACAATGTGATCTGTTCACACCTGAGAGCTGTCATAATGGTGTCTGTCAGCAAGTTGGTTGTCTGGTTTCACTAGTAAATACATGGAGCTTTTATTGCATATTTGCTTTTGGGGAAATTGTCCTCAAATACACAGTAAGGACAGTAATGTTAGAAGCAGTTGGACAAAAGGGAGAGATAAACCTTCAGTCACAGAGTAAAGCCAACCCCTTCCAAATATTGTAGTTAATGGCTGAGAAAAATAAAATTATCATGAACAGCTATAAAATACAAACAAAACACAATGTCTGGTTTTCTATCTTTTGCTTGGGATGAAAATAATGATTTAAAACCAATGTCATATACATTGGCTTTTTTTCATATTAGACTTTTATTTCTATTTTTGTTGCATTGCAGAAACTCAACTTACTGTATGAAAGTTTCCATTTCGCTGACGGTGGGTGAAAATGACACTGGACTCTGCTACAACTCAAAGATGAAATATTTTGAAAAGGCTGAACTTAGCAAAAGCAAGGAAATCTCATGCCCTGAAATTGAGGATTTTTTATTTCCATTTAGGGAGCCTGAAATTCTCTGGTATAAGGTAAGGAATGCAAAAGATTTTCACCTTCAACAAGATATTATGTAATGTTCTGATGATTTTCATGATCTAAATATGATATGAAGCTTGGATTGTTTTAAGATTTGTTAAGAACAAACAACAGAATCAAGGACAGAAAAAAATGAACTAAGCTAGAGAGAAAGATTCAAATGCTTCTTTTAGTAAACTTTAGAGCTCATGTTTTCTTAATATCCATTTATGGATGTCACAAAGAATTGGCAGCTTTCTGCTAACAAGAGGGCTAAAAAAGAAAAGTGTTACCAGTCTGGGCTGTTTTGATATGCTAAGGTAAAGCCATGTGAGCTGTTTATACAGCAACTGCTTGTGCTATGCCAGGCTAAAGACTGTGTTTCTAAAAACTCGGACATAAAATCTATTTGGAAAAATATAAATGGGATAGCTATGCATGTTGTTATCTGAATGAATGGCTTAATTTTGCAGCATAAAATCCAGCAAAGACTTCCAAAACTTTGGTCTTTACATATTAGCCTTTACATGCGAATATCAGTGATTTCATTGTTTGTATCAATAACTTTATTTCAATATTGTGTACTGATTTCTAGATCATTACTTAAGGGCCAGGTTCTTGCAAATAGTGCTGCCTGTGCACAGCTCACTAGAGCTTCCATAAAGAGAAGCTTGAGTTCTGGAGTTTTTACCATCTTCGGGAAATACTCAGTACTTCAGTATTTTAATGTACACAATTTAAAGTCCCCAGAGAGTTCAGTAAGTCTGAAATTTAGATTCTGTATATTTTGTATACACAGATGTCTGTGTATATAGGAAGTCGTAGCTTAACTATGTGCTGGTATGCATTCTAATTATTTTTTTAAAGTCTGATAATTTACTTGATTACATAAATGCATTTAAATATGATACACAAGACTATGCTATCTAATAAGTAAAAACTTCTGGCCTAGAAGGATTCTGGAAGAATTAATTGACAGTATGTCTAAGATGGGAAGTATGTAACCTATTATTTACTTATACTCATCTTGGATTTTGTGTTTGTAATACAATATATACCTAAGTTTTACCAACTGTAAAACTATGGTTAGCTTCTTAAACAAGAGCTCAGAAGATCGGCTTTTTAAGAGCCATTGACAGTATGTGGTGAATGAGCTCAAACAACCTCTTATACTTTAACATTTTAAAAAAGCCTTTACCGTATAAACAATAATTATGCTAAGATAATCAAGTAAAATATTTTGTGGCAGTTCATCAAAAGATATTTTTCTTATGAAAAACACCAATCCCTTTTTCTAATAGCTTATGAATATACTGGTTTGCAATACAAAAGAAAAGGTTAATTAGGTGAGAATAAGTTAATCATTTTAGGGAGCTAAGAAACATGCATGAAAAAAGGTATATTCTCTACTATAGCATAAAATATAATGTTTAGGTAGTAAAGACTGAAATACTAACTCATTTTTGTAGATACAAAACTCACCTTTTGCTAAAACTTCAGAGAGCTTTGATTCTAAGGTGTTTTTAGAAAGAGATATATAACTGAACCTCATTTCTCCTCATTCTCATCTTCTGTTTCTCTACCTTTTTTAATTATAATTTTCTTAAAAAATAAATTAAAAGAAAAAATTCTTCCCTGCAACCTGTAGCTACTAGTAATATAACAGTCATGGATCACATATATAAATGTAATGGAAAATAAGTAAATTAAATAGGAGCCCTTCAGCAAACTAATGTCAAAAGAAAACCACCAAAGGAATCAGCTCCTCTTCTTCCTCTTGTCAGAGGGCAAGTATTAAGACAGCTGATAAAATTCTATAGTCTTTTTTCTTTTTAATCAACACTTAACTGAACTGGATTTTTAGATATTTAGTGTATGTAAAGCTCATAACTAACCTGAGCTCTTGTCTAGCCTTCTTGGATTTGAGAAGCATTGTCAACAGTGGCCCAATTTAAGTGTAAGAACATAGTCACTGAAGTGTTATATTATCTTTAAACAGGAATGCAAGTCAAAGACGTGGAGATCAAGTATTGTGTTTAAAAAGGACACTCTTGTCATTCGGGAAGTTAGAGAGGATGACATTGGAAATTACACTTGTGAGTTAAAATATGGATTCTTTATTGTCAGAAGAACTACGGAATTAACAGTTACAGGTAATTACAGGTTCTTGCTATCTCTTATATTTATAAAAAACATTGAATATTGTGATTTCAGTTGTGTGTATTTGAGTCATTATACCTACATAAACTGCTTTTGCACAAAACTTTGCTGTGTGCCTAGATATCAAGGGTTGATACATCAAAGCTGTCCTGAATACTTCACAGTAATATGTGTAACATTTTGAACAAGCCTGAGTTTTGGTCTATTGCAAAAGCTTGTGGGTAGGTCTTGTTTTTGAATGGAAAATGTGGACAAGGAACAGGTAACTTCAGCAAGCACTACCTCTAACAGAAAATAAGATTGTTAAGTCCATCATACTTCTTCATGTGGTTAAATGCCTTGGGATATAAGAATAGCTGTAGCTACAATCCAATAGCAGTAACTCTAGCCCAGTGAGACCATTGCAACTGCGTGATAGATATGTAAGGGTTAGAGTTCGAACAGTGCATGGCTGAAACACTGTAGCATTCTTCCTCTGGTATTATCTCCCAGCTTTCTGTAGTTTATATTTCAAGAACTTCCTGATCTCAATCGTCATGTGTCATGGTTACCAATTAACCTATTTTCCATTAGTCTGATTTTTTTTTAATCCTTTTATTCTTGGCTTCAAAAACATTTTGAAGTATCAAGTTCCACAGAGTATTTGTGTAACATAAATAAACTCTATAATTTAGCAGATAGCAATTGAAGAAGATGCATTTAATATAATCTGCATTTAAAACTACCATATCAATATGTAAAATCCATCATAGATGAAAACAAAATATATACCATAATAGTAATGTCCGCAGCAGCAGAACAGTATGAAGAATGGTCCATTAAATTTTCAGTTCCTTACCAGACCTCTAACCTCTGTTTTACAAACATGTAAACAATATAGCTGAACATACACTTAAGGTAGAATATTAGCTTCTAGAATTATAGGATGACATTGGAAGACAGGAGTACATCATGATCTGTGTAATGCAGTGTAGTTCCACAGTATATTCCCTAAAAGGCAAAAACAGGATTTTCCTGGCAAACTGGAGGTGAACTAGATTCGTACGTTTGACAAAGATGTTTGCATACGTAAGTTCTTGCACCTTCAAAGTACCAAATAAACAAAGAAACAAATCTTAGAGAAGGAGTTCTGTGGCCCTTTCTTGTTCCTTTTTAGTATCTAATATATAATTATATTGCACACCAACAATTAGTAACAGCACTTATGTTGTGCATTATGTTTAAATGTAACAGTTTCCTTTTATGGTGAAAAGTTTGTTTTCCATTTTGATGTATCCCATTTGCCCTCCACATTATCAGAAATTATAGTGAATTATGGTTTGTAATTTTCTTCCAGTAGATTAGTCTGGAAATCATATTGTTTATGGTTTTTGAGAGAATTCAAGTAATCAGTTATATTTATTTAAACTCAATATTCAGTATCTCTTCATAATTTTTCTTTTGTATGGAATTGATTTATTTGGTCAGTACAGACAAGCAATTACTGTCTAGTGATTAACCTCACAGTAAATATCCATATACTCTGTTTGATTGATTCTCATATGAAGAAAGCAGAGAGAGAATCTTCAAGAATTTGATTTATACCAGAAAGAAGTTGTCAATTATCTTTTGCAATATATGATGTATGGATTCGAAGAATACATATTCCCTCAGTCCTCAGGTGATCCCTTCTGTCCCTAAGGTTGGTGCTCCACTGTGCAGCAGTATTTCAAACAGACTCAGACTGACAGAAAGGAGACAGAAAAAAAGCATTGGAACCAGATGCATGTTACTATTTGTAGTAATAGTTTAAAAAATGTAATTCATCACTTGTGGTGTAGGTAGGAGTTCAGTATTTAATGTTTAACTAGACAGAGACAGAAAGAGACTTGGCTGATTTTGATGTGCTAAAAATGAATGAATGCACACGGAGGGAATTATTCAATTTCCACCTCTGCAAACCCCAGCAGATGTAAGGACAACCTCCAAATTAGTAAACTGTTTGGGCAATAGTGTAGGTCTTCATACCATCTTTATAATATTATGTGACTAAACAGAACAAACAGATTTACTCATGGTACTACTAATTTTATACTACCTCTGTATTGATGTCTTGATAAGACTTTTTATCAATGCTTTATAGGAGGAGATTCACATTTTAGGTGCCTGTCTTATGCTTTCTTTGTGAGCTGAAAAACGTTTTGAGTTGCCCTGGATGTACAGTGAGGAATATATAAAATAAATGAGGGGTGGAAGGGACTGTTTGTTTTGAAAAAGGAATTGAGCTTTAATTCAGAAACTGAGAAATAAATGTTATAAATGTCAAATTAAAAGTAGAAAATCAAATTGATAGTTGATTGCTTTACTGTATTAATGAAAACATAACTGAAACAAAGGAATGAAGTATCTTTCTGACATACAGTCTCCGGCATGTCTCCAGGCAGTATCAATAAATGATGAAATTGGTGTGAACCATTGCTAAGACAAAATTCCATCGATAACTCCCAGCTACACAAGGAGTAAAAAAAATATTTCTAAGACATTTGAAATTTCTCTGCCAAACATACTTTTTAGTTAGAATAAAAGAATTTCAAAAATATGAGTAAGAATTACCAATTTCCCTCAGACTTTCCAGAGCATATGGGAAGTTGTAATGTGTTTATCAGCTTGTAATGTGTTTAACAAAATGGGATTTATGAAAAATAACTCTCTGTATTCATTAACATTGCCTTGTGTGGTAATGGTGGGTGTCCCACCATCACACACCCATCATTAGAAAACAATCACTTATTTTTTTCCATTTTCTGTGTGCTATGTTTCCATATATATGTTTAAGTAAGACTGAAATTTAGACTTTCTACATTTCTTTCCTGGAATATACTGTTTTTCTTCTAGAAACAAAAAAAAAACCCCAAACCTCTGTTGCAAGAAATTCACGAGCCAGATGTTATATATGTATTCATCTGTAGTATTCTATAGAAGCTGAAGATCTGCCTTTGTGCATTATTACCATTGCCTAGTATGAAATCAAATGGTTAATTGTTTTGCTAAGAAACCATAGGTATCTGGTTGTTGGCATAACAGGATTCAGTGTGTTAAGCAGAGAGTAGAACAGGATTAAAGCAGCATGCTTGTCCTTCCTTCTGCCTAGCAGAGGCAAGGAGAAACAGGCAGAATATCCAGAGAACAGAGTTACACAATCATAGGGATACTCTCCCATTGCCTAAAATTTTCTTCTTCCTTTGGCTCTACAAAACTCAAATTGGAATGAACAAGATAAAAATTATGTTTTGGAAAGTAGCATTATTTCAGTGGATAGCCTATCTCAGAATAATTTTTACTGAAAACTTTTCTTCAGATTGGAAGCTAAGTTTGGGCCCAGGCAGTCATTTGTATAAATGTCTTGAAGTTATTTATTGTAAACAGTCTTTTTTGCAAATTATAATTTAGGTGTTCTATAAATTAAATCAAAAGAAAAAGCTATTAAGACCTCCTGTGAATGATCCTTTGCTGAATTTGTGGGGTAGGAGTGATGCTAAACCTTTCTCTCACAGACCTCTAGTGCTACTTTAATCAAATAATGTATCTGGTCTTTGTTTCAAATGCACACAAGTTTGAATCTCCAGTTCTAAAGTCATGGGCAGCATAGATCTACGTAAATTAGAATGGCAGACCTAATACTGAGGTGACATATGCACATAACTACATATGAGGATTTTATCCTGTAAGTATGTTGAAAGTACACTGACATCAGAGTAACCTGAAGTTCCTGGTGAGTTTTAAGACAGGAGTGGGTTGCTCTCTTAATAAAAAAGGAAGAATAACATAAATGTTACTGGGGAAGAAAAGACAGAATGTCTTCAGACAGTATGAGAAAGGATAGAAACAATTTTCTTGACCTTATAAACAATCATAAAAAGCTCTCTCTCTAATATTATGCATAGGAATTAAAGTAGAAGGTAGCACATCTTCACAAGATCAGGGCCATATGTGTAAGCAACTGCAATACTGTAAATTAAGTAGCAGCTCCTACATTACTTAAGGCAGGCAGGGTGAGCGAGCTACGACACTGGTGGGACGTGAAAGCAGCCTGCCTTCCTCACCTCTCCTTCTCTCTGGGCAACTGTGGAAGATCGTTAACTTCAAAATCCCCTTTATTTTTCCACACAATGCACTTTGGCAGCCTTGCTGTCTCCTATAGGGAAACCATTGTTGCTATTACAGACTATTAAACTATGGATATAATTACATAGGCACATTATGTTCAATATTGATGTTGTGTATGCTTGTTGTGATAACCTCAGTGCTTCACACCTTACATACCTATCTGCCTCATAGTGGAATAAGGAATGGCTCATACTCTGATTTAGAATTAAAAAAAAAAAAACAAAAAAAAACAAACAGAAAAAAAGGAGGACAGTCACACATTTTTAAAAAGGCCAAACTCACTTTATAGGCAGTATCCATCTCATCTAACTATAGCAGTTGAAAATCCCTAAGCCGTGGAAAAAGATGATTTTCCCTCCTTTTAAAGAATGAGAAAATAAATTGCCCTTTCTTAGCTTAAATTATAAGCACTGAATGACACCTTAGGTACATATTTAAAGTAACAACCATATTTAGTGCTCACATTTTTGATTTTATGAAAAAAGTCTTGTTAATGGCAGCAACATTGCACTAACATTTGTAAATAATACACAAAATCTTCAAATGTTATGTACCTATTCCTTACCAAGAATAAGCATATACTTCTGATCCAGAAGATGATTTCTTCTTAAAATATGGATGTATCTTTCAGGTTTTTATTAGGATAATTTTTTTTGCTTTAATTTTAATGTTGTTTGGATGATCTGTATCTCACACTGAAAATATATTATTATCTAAGTGATTTGAATCAACTTCCTTATTGTTATGAGATCTGACTTAGAAATTCTCTGCTTTGCAAAATACAAACTATGCACTGATTATTCTAGCTTGTAACTAATGAAAATATTCACATAAACAGCGTAACTGG